TAATAATTAAATTTTTTATTGTGTTCATTAAAATTCTGGCAATCTGATTGGTTAACTGGGAACATTTCTTTGATTTCATTTCCCAATGAATCTAAAAATAAGCCACGCCCACCGAACCGACTACTTTCGACCTGAGGAATGTCGGGGAATACCTTTACACAGCGAGGGAATTCCCCTTGCACTCGGGTACCTTAATGAACTTTGGATAAACATTGAAGTGATACATTGTGGTAAACATAAACAAACAACTCAAAATTATCCGTGAACGTTAATAAAGTGTTTATTTAATAAAAAGTGTTTGTCATAATACATTATTTGACTGGTTACTGTGGTTACCACGTGCAGTCAGCGAACAGTCGTCTGCAACTTGTCTTGTTTTTACATTCCAACACGATGGCCGATTCCAGGTACGGAAGTTTTGATCTGGGGAATTTTGAGTCGATTTTCGAAGATCAATCTACCGGAAACGTTGCAACTCTTTAACACGGATAACATTGATTTTCCGGATGATTTAGACCTGGAAGAAATTGAAAGTTTGTTAGAGATAACTGCATCAACCAGATCTACAAAAACATCGGCAAATCACGAGATGACGTGTGCAATGCAAGTCGATGATAAGCCATCCCAAACACATCGTTTCAAACGTTTATCAAGCAATGATTTACTTCGAATGGACGACTACAGACAATCAACATCCACAAAAAGAAACACAAAATGGGGTGTTAAACAATCATTGAAACAAGTGATCTGATGCAAATTAGCACTTATCTGCATTCGGCATCCAATCCTGTTATCCTCCGGTACAAAGTATGGTACGACTTGGCCATCCATTTTGTAAGTCGTGGTCTTGAATTTCACCAGCAGCTTACGCCCACATCCTTTGAATTTGCGGTAGATGAGTAGTCAGTCATACACTGCTCATTGTCTTCCCGCCACAGCAATCCAAGCCATGAGTGACGCTGGCTTTTGAACTTCGTCACATAATGTTTATGAGGCATAGGAATCGAAAGTTCCGTAAGTGTAGTTATAGTCGCCACACAACGACTACTCAAAAACTAAGAATTAGCGAGACCTTTCCGCCATTGTAACGCCCTCGACAAGAGCATGCGCACGTTGGAACATCAGTTCATGGCATCGCAATCCCAGTCACATCACAGCCCCTTTCCACTTTGCGCAAATACTGCTGCCACTAACAATCTCAGTTCCACTAACTTCATGTCATCGGGCTTCATTTCCAATTCTCACTTTTCAAACTGTGTCTTTCAGTTCGCTGGTAATAATTCAAATGTTTGAACTAGAAACTTTGCCGTTACCGGAACGCGTCACGTTAGTGTTGTTCCGCTCTGATTCGCAACCCCGATGTTAGCTTGGTTGATTGACAGCTGTTTGGGGGTGCTCTATGCTGATTGGCTAATGGTTTGGTAGGCGTGTCATTTTATATGTAAATGAGTCACCTTGAGCCATGTCACGCCATTACCGAATTCTTTACACCGAAAATGTTAATCGGTGGTAACACTGATATCTGTTTCGATGAATTTGATTGTGTTTTAGATAAAACATTGTTGGAAAAGTTTTCCATAGTATTTGTTGTTGAATTTATTAGGTAGGATTGATCAGGAGTTCTTCGAGTTGCATTGAGGTATGAACTAGCAACCAATGTGCAAATCTTTTGTAAGAATCATACGCGGATTCATACAGTTTGCACATTGGTTTTTAGTTTCATACCTCAATGCAACGAAAGAAATACACAATAATCCTTAATTAATTTTACTCGTTATAGTAAAATATACAGACTAATACATTAAAATCTTCATACGAGCATCTGTCAAGCATTATGCGCCAATCTAAACGTTAAAATGAGGTTGACTTCACCATTCATCCATCTTTTCCCATACATGCATTTCTTCGGGTAACAAAATTCAATTTTTCAAAATGCTGTTACAGTGTATGAACACACCCCTTGTCAGTGAATAAATCGATAAATAAAAGTAAAGCAAAGACAACAAATTTAGATACAATTAATCTTTGATTTATGAAATCAACTGCTAATACGTTCGTGATTGACTTGCCTCCTACACTCATGATTAATATTTTCCCAAGAATAATATATAAACAGGAAGAACCTGTTTCATTATTCACTTTTTAACGTTGCGAACGAAAGTATTTTGTGTGTTTTTAGTGAAATTGTTTGTATTGTATTTTTTGCCTCTCTTATAAGTTTTTACAAAGCGTTCTGACCTCTATACAATACATCTGAAGCTGGCTAATACGTGTGTAGTTGTGGTATTTCTGTACCTGATAAACCCGTGAAGATCCGGGTTAGAATTGGACTTCAGTAATAAATGTTTGTCGTAAAAGGCGGCTAACAGGATCGGGTGGTCATGCTCACTGACTTGGCTGACACATGTCATCGTATCTTAGTTAGGTAGGTCGATGCTCATGTTGTTGGCAAACAACTCCCAGAGTGAATGTACGGTATTCACCGTATAACATCAAAATGCCCAACAACAGTGTTTTGAGGATGTCCTATTTCAAGCATTCAAATTGCAAACAATGGCTTATTTCCAGATAGGAGTGGTGTAACGTTTGTTGGGTTTCAGGTTAGATCACTTTATAATGTTGCCACGTGCAGTAGGAATATGCAACGAATGTCTTGCTGGTATGTTTCTTTATGTAAAAAGACTTGGAGTTTCTGTTCTGTTTTTTAAAGGTAAAAATATGTATGTATTTGAGAACTTAAGCTTGGTGTCCTCACTTTCAAAACATCTGATGGAAGACATATGTAAGACATTTTCACCTTTGACATGATCCCCGATGCCTATTTTGGCTTATGCAGTTAACCTGCGTTTTCACGTGTTTGGGACGGGTACTGCAAAGTCAAACTCGGGTAAAATAAAATTTAGACATTGTCAAAGCAGAAAACTAAACATTAAGAAGATGTTGACTTCAACCTTTACCAATTACCCTTGTAGTTTGTGTTGTTTGTTTGTGTGTGTGTGTGTGCGTGCGTGCGTGCGTGCGTGCATGTGTGTAATAAGTTGTACGCTTCTTGCGAGGGTAATACAGTTTGATATATGCCTTTTCGTAGCAGTGTTTGTGGCAGTGATCGATAATCTCGCTACCGACTATATGACTGCTATAAAATGGTTAATCATGTTTAAGTTGAGTGTGCAAGCTCAATCTATAATTTTTTTTGAAATAAAGCAGTGAAAGTCGGTAACTTAAATGTGTACATAGTGAACTGAAAAAGGCTAATCCAACGGTTTTCGTTATTATGACGTCATACGATTGTTAGCAATACAACACTTCTCGGGGGAGAGTTTGGTGGTTACCGTGGCAGGGGGTAATATTTTTCCAGTTGGCGAGGGGAGACACGGAAACTTGTTATTGACCGTCATTGACGAATGAAATTAACGTATTTACATGTTATTTGTACTCTCTCAGCCAGTAGCATTGTCCAACTTTACTGAATATTTTATATAACCCTCTTTCTTATTATGCAACGTGACCATTTTAAGTGAAATATACCGTGACATATAGTATATACTTTGTCATTTTGGGTAGTAGTTGCTGGGTAGCCTAGTGGTTAAAGCGGGTGCTCATCGCATGAAAGGTATAGGTTCTATTCCTGTTGGTGCATTATGTGAAGGTGCTCCCTGTTCTATTGCTGGAATATTGCTAAATGCCGGATAAAACTAATCTCACTAACCCACTTCGCATTATTCAAATCAATGCACACCGAAGCGTGGAGGGTTTCAAAAGAACGTGAAGCAGGCGTTTACGTCGAAACACGTTCCGCTACAGCTGTTCCATGCCTATACAAACGGTGACCTAACAGGCTACTGCGTCCCTTTTCCCGACGAAACTTATATTAGTCAGCAGGAAAGCTTTCTACATGACCACCATTGTGCATTGCCTACCGTCCGTGTACACTTAGTCAGATGCTGTTCGCTGGAACTGCAGATGCCCGTGTACATAATACATATGGAAATGAGCAAAGGTTACAATTATAGCGCAAACAAATCAGTCAGTATAAATGGTCAGACAAGTTATATTTAGGATCTTTGTCATCGTTGTCGTGTTGCTTCTGGTGTTGATTGACAGTTAGCACATATATTCAGTATTGAAATAGAACAGTGAATTGCATCCCATATCCTTAAAAAAGCCTATACATGTACATAAATACATAGAAAATACTACACGAGGTCTCATTACATACGAATTATACGAAACGAGTGTCCTTCCTTCCTACAGAAACCATAGGAAGGTCACGAGTTTCGTATTACTCCTATGTTATGAGACCGAGTGTGGTATTTTATTTATTACCCACGTCTTACATGCTTTAAATTGACAAAATAGCGTATTTTTATTGTTTTTATGGTTTCAAACCGAAACCGGTTTCATAAAGAGGTTGCGGAAGAATATTGTTCTGTAGTACACTTTTTGCATGACGTCACACTGTAATGACGTCACTACGCCTTGCTAGTCTGCTTTTGGTAACCGACGTCACGATGCATGTCAGTTGTCATCGCCTCGTACAGCCTCCTACATTAAACATTCCCCGTAGCACCCCGTTTCTTAGTTTGCAGTTGCTTCACTCGGCTAACATCACTGGTGGAAACTTTGCGTTTATGGTTTTCGACGCATATAATGTCTCAGTTCGACTCACAATTAAACAGCGATACGGCAACGTTCGAAATGTTTACATTCCCACAATGCATATAAATTATAGAATAAATGAATTCACGTGTTTGTTATGTATGAAAAAGTAGTTCCATCACAACGTGACCTAATTGAGAGGTCATCGGTTATCCAATCAAATCCAATTAGAATCTCAGGTCAAGTCGTTACGACACAGGTCAACGCGATACGAAACTCGTGTGACATACGAGATTAGTATGCAACTACCCATACGTTGACCGCGTGGGTAATAAATACACATACGCACGTATGTACGTACCTACATTGCCGGCCCACATGCTTGGTTTTCCCGGTTTCAGGTAAACCCCTCATTCTGAGGTAATATACAGCATCTCTAAATGTTTGGTATCTGTACTCGCGACTACCTGTACCAAAGTACGTACGAGTCTTCCAGGTAAGTGGGAAAATAATTATAAAGGTGACATTGGTGTCAAGTGACATTTATTTAGAAGAAATCATTTTGGCACGATGGACAGTACAGGTAGACAAGCTATAGTTCAAAGTATATTTTGTGTTTATATGTACATATGTACTTTTTACATCATGTGCAAAATTAAGTAAAGTAAAGCTGCAAAATTAACAAATTAAAACGGACACTTAGATCTATATTTACACACATCATAACATATTGATAAACATCACATATTCTCAGGGCACCTGGATGTGACAGGGCTATTTACAGATTTGTGTTGCAACACCCGAAGCCGGGTCAATAGACAGACCTTATGTTCTTTCGGTGCAAATCATTTTCTGATTTCTAACACAAGCTGTGTAACTCGTATTAACGCATTGTTGATGCAAATCAAAGCGGTGGCGAAGAAAATTACAAAATCAGAATAAACTGTGAACAAAGGTATCCACTAAAGCATAATTATATTAAGAACACTTATTAACAGCAAAAATTATGAAATAATCTGGATTAATGAATATAGTATGTTTCAAAATAAAACATACTGCGACGATAGCTAACGTACAGTAAAGCAGTAAGGTTCAACACTATACAAACTAGATGGATCAAAGTAAAACATATCTGGAAGGATATAATCCATAAAAAACATATTTTATATAAACATATTCACACTATATTCGGGAGACCCAATTTCTGAGCGAATTCATAAGCCCACTTACAAGATTCAATACAATACTTAAGAATCCATTTTGAGTGGTCTACAGTTACACAAGTTTGTCTGGTTAAATGCAAACCCATGTACAGAAGGATCCCTATCCAGATCCGTTTTGAATGTTTTTATAATCCAAATCTCCGTGTGGTATAAATTGTGGTTGTAACACTTATGATTAATACGTCTTGGTATAAGCAAAGTATTGTTCAACGGGCTATACGAAAAACACAGCACAGTCACTCAATATCTTAAAGGAAGATCATTAACAGTTTCAATTGTATTCTGTGTTAATCGATAAGACCGTTACTTAACTCCTGACCTAATGGCTTAACATCCTTTTATACACTACCACATGACCAGAAAAAAGTTATACAAATAAACAAACCCAAAGCTAATGGCTAACTAAAACATGGTATGCGTTTCTGATGATGCGATTCTGCAGCATGTCTTCATATTCAAATAGTTAAACGTCTCTGTGAAACTGCCAATCGCATTTGCCTGTGAACCGGAGTTAGATATTTGCCATGCTGATAAGGGTCATCAACAACGACATCATTCATTAAGTGTGAATATGACACGGAATATCCAAAATGACTTTCTGGGATTGACTGATACCCAAGCTCCGTGTTTTCTTTTGCGTTGAAGTGGTCAGCCATGGCGTGAACGGCAATATCTGCATCTTCATTTTTGTCACTATGTTTTGGCTCACAAACTGCGGAAGTGCCGTTGTCGCGAATTTCACTGTATATATGTAGGGTTTGGTATAGGGGACAAGGTGTTTTGCCATCAGCCACCGAGGTTGCATTCCGGGTTCTGTTGCGTTGAAAAGAACAAAAAACAATAAATGTCTACAATACCATGAAAGTACAAGAGCTTGCATTTGCGTCCGGCGTAGGTTTCTATGGGTGTATTTTCTATTAATCGCACTGGACGGGTTCCCATCATCAGACGTGATATTACATGTTCCCCTGATCAGGCCAGTTTCACAATGTAATCTCAGCGCTAAGGTGATCTCAACTCCCATCATTTATGTCTGTCCTGTATCACATCAATCAAAAGTCGCATAAACGGCTTTGTGATATTGGTTCCAATGGTTCTATATTGATTTTGGAGCAGAACAATCTAAAAAGTGTGGTAGTAATCATTCCGTTAGGTAGTTAAAAGGAATATGCAACATAACCAGGAAAAATTAAACACATATAAAACAAACTAAATAAAGAAATTAACCTCTTCGTGTTCATTCTCCTTCGACAGTAGAACAGAGTTGCCAGTAAGATACACGCTGCAAAAATCAGCGCAGCAGCTAGGGTTCCGCCCAGGAAAACATAAGTAGAAACTGCAGCAGAAAGTATTACAGAATTAATATTCCCCTTTGACTTGCATCTATATGTTTAAGGTAGAGTATTTCCTCTGTCAGAGATAAATGAGAAATCATCTCGTAACCCGCATTAAATATCGTAAACCTAGAGCGAATTGAGACACAATTTAACAAAGAAGAGGGGAGGATCAGTTTACTTGGGTGGGGATGATGGAGTATCTTGTGGAAGGTCAGTCCTATATGCACTTAGGTGAGAGACAAAAATAGCCAACTGCGGGCAGGATACAAATGTAGACACCAAAAAGGAAATGTCGAATTCAGAGCTGAGCACTCATGACAAAATCAAACACAAATACTTCATGTTGTGTCCTCTCATATTCCTTTTGTAATGTTGATATTCGCTCACTTCTCTAGACTCACAGAATCATTTCCGTGATAAGTGAAGGCACATACTTCAGCAGCGTTCACAAAAATTCACATTCCTCGTGCTGTATGAGTACGTACACTTTCCACTGGAATGACTCTGAATCTCATTAAGGAAGGAACAGACGTTGAAGCACATTTCTGATTATACTGCAACTAAATAAACTTTGTACATCTATAACATTGGAAAAACAACTGTATGTTAATCGTTTGAAAACCAGCTTACCTGTTTCACATTCGTTCTTTGTCCTACAGTCCGCTAAGGAACAGTCATTGGCACAGTCATGTTCACATCTGACGCCAACGAAACTGGCCTCGCATCCTTTGATACACGCACCTGTCCACTGATGGCACATGCCATCCAGGCATCTTGGACACGAGTGGTCGCAGAACTCTCCGTATGACCCATTTGTACACCCACTGGTGCATGATCCATTCGTGGAGTTGCACAACTGACTGACACAGTTGACAGGACATGGTCCACAGTCTGTTCCATAATATCCAGGTGAACAACCCTCAATACAGGCTCCAGTAGCATCACATTTACCATACAGGCATCTGGGATTACATTGGATGGAACAGTTAGAACCATATCTTCCATTGACACATCCGTGTGTACATGCACCCGTCACTTTGTTACAGTCACCTAGACAATTGTAAGTCTCTTTTGGAGCTGAACAGTTGCTTGCAACGGTAATCGGATTAGGTTGACAATATCTACCGCACACCTCGTCACAAAACTTGCCATAAAATCCTGGTACACAACCATGCTGACATCCATTGTCACATCCACTGGACTCCAAACAATGGTCGCAGGTGTGTTCACAGGTCGGTCCAGCGTAAGGCGGATCACAAGTCTCACAATGGCCTGTAATCCTGTTGCAGGATTTACATCTACTTGAACAGTTCTTGCAGTCCGAACCATAATAGGAACCAATGCACCCAGAAACACAAGTTGAATCTGTCTGACAATATCCGCCATCACACACGTGTGGACACTTTGTACATCCGACCCCTGGGGAATCACATTGGTCAGTGCATTTTCGGCCCTGATACCCTGGTATGCAACCCTCCGTGCATACCTGAAGACCTCGCTCGTTCAGAGTACAAAGGCTCTTCTTGCAGCCTCTGCTGCAGAGCGAACTGCACATGAGATCAAAATATCCATCCTCGCAACCAGTGAGACAATGACCTATCACCTCATGACAGTCTGAGCAGTGTTGCTGCACTCCACATGTTGCAGCTGTAATGTCAGCAGATTTACTTATATTACTTTATGTTCATATCATGTAATGCATGTAACTATTGCAAGCATGGAGTTTGGGTACGTTGTAATAATTTTGCCAAAAACATATTTTGTGCAGCAATAACCACATCAACAAAACCCCCTTCAATCTGTGTTGATCTACTATCAGTACTCTACAAATATAATTGACATGTACATATAGAAACATATATTAAAGAAGGTGTATTCCCTCCAAAGTACGAATGGTGAGAAATCTGTACATAGCTATGAAGAACACAGATGGGATATGCAAACCTCAATTAATACAAACATGACGCTTTATGCACGGGTCCATTGCAAGTTAAACTATCATATCCTTTGGCAATTGGCATACTTGCATCCCAATTATAAATCTGCCCTCCAAATATGTATTAAAATCTCATCACGTGGCAAAATATCTAAAGAATGTAACCTATGTAACAAATATACTTATCATTATGATTTTCATATACTCTTACACTGTGAACAACTTCACACTGAGAGAAACGAATATTTTGTGTTTATGATTGACAATCTTGATGTGGAAACCTATGTTGCCTTTGAATCACAGAATGAACTCGATCTGCTCTCTTTTCTATTTGGAGGTGAAACTGTTTTTAATGATAAAGTTGATCAAGGGACATGGGAAACAATCATTTTACGATTTTCTTTATATATTTACCGAATAAGACGGCATCTCCTACAATGTTATACTGATTGATCTCTGCAGATGTATAATGATGTATATCCACCATCGGAAGTTTCTTGTATAAATTAATTGTATACACATGTAAATGTATGTTCTTATGTAAATTGTAACTTTAGGTAATCATCTTGATTAATATAATCGTATATACATCTATATAAATTTTGCAACTTTGCCCCCTATTGTATATATATATATATATACATGTATATAGTATGTTTGATCTTCGGATCTTCTATTCGAAAACACTTTTTAATACACGATATGTTTTTAAATTCCTTAGAAAGTATTTCAATATGATAGAAACCTACCTTTTAAGGTTATTGGGAAATTAGTAATGACAAGTAAAAGCAAGAAATCCATTTGTGCCTGAAAAGAGACAGTAACATGTAAATATAAGTTGAATATGCGACTATCGAGCATATAAACTGAGCCAATAAATTTGCTTTATAGCATGCAGTATCATGTAATTAGGGCTCATATACTCACGGGTAAGGTATTTTCCTCCCTATTTCCCATGTACACCCTCCACAAGCAACGGTGGATCGGCGTATGGCCCAGTAATGATGTGATTCACATGCTCGGGTTTACAGTTCAGGTTTTGGTTACAACTTCCTTCCTTACACGAGAAAGTTTCAAATGCATTTGGCTATAATACCAACAAACAGGAAATATAGATATCACTGTCACTGTCAACGGTATGTTGCACAGCGTAGTCAAGTACCCCAAAAAACCAAACCACCACCACCACGACAGGGTGGGGTGGGGCTGGATTTCACCTCGTGACTCGAGAAACTAGTCTCAATTGTATATATATATTGTAATTGAATATTAACATTTGACAGACATAAAGGTCAGCAGAGACTTATCAACGTTCTTTGAAAGTGGCAAAAGCATGAATAACTTCCAATTTATGGCTCTACCGTGTGCTAATTAACGAACGTTCTTCTTGAATAAGATATTTACAACACCAATATTTGTTGTAATACTCTGTATTAAAACTTTTTTTCATGATCTCTATGTTTTCTCATGCCCTTACATATTTTGTCTTCGCAGCCTAAAGAAGAGAGATGTCGTGAAAAACAGAGAAATGATGATACCATGTATTTAGAATATATGCTTCTTGCCGTTATTCTATGTGAGTAAATGTTTTAATAATTCTCGTTGTAGTTATCGAGATTTCTTATGGATGTGGAAAGGGTTTTGCCGCTTCTATTATACATTAACATAATGCAACAAAACGGTTTAAATATCCATAAGAAATCTAGGACGGAAGTTGCTGTGAAGAGAAATATATCCCATAATCATGGAAGGTTTGATTCCTGTGGATTCCAATTAGCCATTAATGCTGATTGTTACCCTTTGTTCGACTGCAATAGTTTGGGATGTGCTGGTTACACTCAACTTCTTCATTTACAGTATGGCTATAAAACTGTCCCCAACTGAATCAATCTTGACAATATGTTGCAGTTGTGGCCAGTGCTCTTCAGTGTCCATGGGGGAAATTTGGTGACAACTGTGAACGAAACTGCTCCTGCTATTGCGCCCTCGTGAAAAACAATACGGCAAAACACTGCAGGAAATCAAATGGAGAGTGCTCAGAGGGGTGTATTCCTGGATCGTATGGTATAAATTGCACGAAAAACTGCAGTGAAAACTGTCTCAACAAGATATGTAATCAACATAATGGACACTGCACCCAAGGCTGCATCAAAAACTACAAAGGAATTTTGTGTAACATTCCCAAAGGTAGGGCAAATACCATTTTGTCAATAACGGTTAATACAAACGCTCATCGGTACAATTAGCATGTTTACAACTGACGACTGCTCCAAATTACATCCTCTTGTATTCGAATGCTTTGCATACCTTTAGACACAGAAATGTCTTGACTTCATTTTATGAAACCGTCCTATTTCAAGTATGGGAAACATTGTTTTGACACACTGACTAGTAATGTCAAATGTCATATACTTGGGCGAGGCCAAAATCTGAGAAAGTCATAAGAGACCTATTTCTAAAAATTGAGGTCACAACCAAATTGTGTTTGCAATTATTATTAAATGCATTTTCTCAAAGCCATCTTGTGGGCGGAAGGTGTTGAATCAATATGTATGCCAAGTGAGGGCAATTAATAATGTTAGTGTAGGTCACAGATCACTTTCGAAGAGTAGCATATATTCTCTTCTTTTACAACACCAACTCTAGAAGTACTTACTATAATACCCGGGACTAAATATATATATTTCATGAGCCAGGTATTCTCCATCCTCGATAATCTCCAGGGTATACGTTACGATAACTCTCCACTATACCCTGGATGTATCCACGGCTTGGGGTGATGATTTTATTAACTCCCTTGGCTGGCTCCGCATTCTCACAGTAGCCAATCAGCTAAGCCCCCGTTACAACCGAGCTTGCCAGTGTCAACAAAGATAGCGGTAGCAGTCGCGAAGGTTTGTTCGCAGTGCCACTCCAAAAAGGAAGAACATGGTTCTGTCTTGCATTGCTGTTGGCACATCAGATTTTCCCAATAATGGTGACCGAGAAGTGTCAATTTCGTTTGGATTTACCTTGAGGCACGGAGCTTTCTGCGGTGAAGATGCCTTGCTTTACAAATGCATTATTCTGAATTGAGGTTGGTGAAGCTTGGGTGAATGAATGAATGTGAACTTTTATTTATCTTAAAACTACATATACCATGTGTTTACCAACCAGAAGTCATAGTCGACTGGAGGCTCGGCTAACTTCTACATGCATATTTAGTTACTGTCAATAGAAAACATAGAGTTGGAAACATAGAGTTTATCTATGTGCATTATGAAAGTGAATGTCAAAGGAGCCGTGGGGATACCGGTTTTGACTATAGGTATCCAGCAAGCAATGTTTGATTCACAAGAATTGTAATTATATGTTATCGTTAGGAAACAAATGAAATTGCATGGTTTTTTTTACACGAATTGTGTTGAATATGTCTAAATGCGGGCACAATTCACCACCAGATTTCAGTAATCCAGACACCTGTGCCAGGAATTCAGCTCAACCTACCTCGGTCGTGATCCTTGGAAGCTGTCTTGCTTTTTCAGTGCTGTTGAATATCATTCTTTGTGTGTGAGTATATCTGTCTTATTCCAATCACACAGGGTGTCATAGCAATGAGCTTTACCGATGATTACTGAAAATATTCCATACTGTTTGGAATATACACGCAATGTGTCATCGTTATTTGCCAAACAGTTTCCATTGTAGGAAATTGATAAGCATGCTTCACTTACGACACATTCCCTTTTCTGGGAGCCTTTTGAATTCATCTCAGGGCGGGTCCGGGCCCCTCCCGAACCCAGTATTATCGTAGTTTCGGTGACATGTGTGACCTGAATGGTTGTCATTTCATACGTATCCATGAACCATTCCCTAGACTACAACCACTGGATTTCCACACCGAAACTGAAATATTTAAAGGCAATGACCTCATGGACGGAATACTGCTCAGCAGCGGCATCGTTGAACTACATCTTGTGCCGTCATCCATTCACTGCTCTTTTGCCTTTTTGAGACGGGATAACCATCCACTCGTTCACTCATTACGTAACTTTGTTATGTTATATACAGAGATATCATCATAATTTTCATAACTGAAATATCTTAGACGAAGTGAGAAAATTCCATTGTAATATTTTCAGGCGATGTTGTGTGCTGTCCTTCAAAAGAAGACTGAAAACAAGTAAGGGAATACGTCAACACCTTTGTCATAAAGCAAGATGAATACACCTGAAATTATACAAGATTTGCTGTTCGATTTGTTTCTGCAAAACTTACTGAGGACTAACTGATGCATATGACACAAACCTCGAAATATCCAGCTGTCAAAAACAGTCTATCCTACTCGTTAGGTTACACCAATCGGATTGGGTGGTCGGACAAGTATAACGGCGTTGTTGATTACCGTTTAAAATAACAATTGAGATTCTGGTGAGAAGTGCCCATCTTTTGTGCAAGCCACTTTTACATTGCTGAAATATTGCTGAATGCGGCTTGACACAACAAAACAGAAGTCGCAGATTACTTTTTAAAGCAAGTAATAATTTATGTTTTGGTCACATTCTAACACAGCAATATATTACTAGGGAAATATAATATTTCCTGTGGTTTATAACATGTTAGCAAATATATTTTGAGACAATGGCTATATTTTGTATTTGTTTATTAAAACTGACAAAGACTAAAGACAAAAAGTAAGTATGTCGCAAATGCTAACCATTGGAGCAAGGTGGGAACATGCATTCAAGGTTTCAGTTTTGTCGGATCAATGAGCTCTGCAGAGAAACCATTCACTTTACTTGGTAGTAAATTTAATGAATCAGTGGAGATGTGTATCAAGTTCGTGTCCCATATGCGACGATATGATTACCATAAATAAAACATATTTACCATAATATTATGTTGCAGGTAAAGGGAGACGGAACCCAAATAACGAGTCGGAAAATCAGAAACACGATCATTGTATACCTTTACAAGTAAGTATTATTTAATTCATCAGAAATGAATGTAAAAGTGTGCTATAGGTTCTTTAAATTAAGTGGTTTGATCCTCTTGATAGCATTCATATTTCAAGACATCGACAGGTTCAACATATTTACAGCTAGTTTGCCTTTTACACCAAATGGAATCAGATTCGATGAAAGTCCGAAATGCAGAGGATACATCATGACCTACCAATGTTATACTGAAGATCACGACTGAACATCATTTATCATCCTTCACTTCAGCCACAGATATTGCCAAGAGTTGTAAAAGATGTCTAACTAAATCGTGCTCTTTAGATATCATGTCCACGTGGCTTCTGAAACAGTTAGCTGATGAAGTTCCACCAGTGTTTACGAAGATGGTCAATCAAGAGGGAAGTTCCAGGATCTGGCAAGCAAGCAACAATCACTCTGTCGGATGCTGTCAAACCTTCCATTTCTTTCAAAGCTGGTGAAACATGCTGTGTCAGTTCTTCTTCAAAAGCGTATGAACATCAACAGCATAAGTGAGTGAGTGAGTGAGTTAATATTTAACGTCACATCGGCAATATTTCAGCCATATCGTGACGAGAACATTCGATATTGAAATGTAATATATGTATATTATAAAAAACCTGCCAACGAAGGGCAGTAAAACAACTAGAATATCACAGATATATATGTAAAACTAGTAATAGAGTCTAAAACATTTTAACTATAGTGGACAACACAATATAAAAATAGGCTATAGATCGCTAACAACTGAAGGTAGATCACCATACTAGGGACCATGGGGACTTACAGTACATTTGCTTCCTGCATGGGCCCTAGCTGGATTTACATCATCCCCTCAGCTGTTAGCAATTGAGATATATCTAGCCAAACATTAAAATTACACATATTCTACGATTAAAAAACAGAAAGTTGAAATTTACTTTGAATGTTTTGGGACTTACGTACCCTCTCAGGAGGACAATAATTTTACAGTACTTTAATCCCCCTCGAGGATACAGCCACTAACAATCTATGTTACGAATTCAAACTTCCAATCATAAAATATTTAGCTATTTACAAATCTGTTAACAAATTTAATTCTTTCAAAAAAGCAATAATTAAATGAGGACTTATATTAGTAAAAAGATCCTTCATAGTTCGGGATTTGAAATAGATATCCCTGTGATGGAGTACTCAACACAGTCAAGCAAAACATGCTTGACCGTGATTCGTTCATCACAAGGGATACAAAACGGAGGATCCTCACCTTTTAATAGGTACTCATGCGTATATCTAGTGTGGCCAATACGACATCGTCGCATAATGACCTCTTCAAATCTGGACTGACAACCCAAGTAAGTGTAACCGATATAGGGTTTTATTGCATGTAATTTATTGATACCTACTTGGGTGTCCCACTTCTTTTGCATCAGATCACGGATATAAGATCTTATAGCAGCTTTGTAATCAGAGTATGGGATCAGAAGTGGTGTCACAGATTTGTTGAGTGCTGCCTTAGCAGCAATATCAGCCATTGTGTTCCCAGAAATGCCAACGTGGCTGGGTAACCAACAAAAGACGATGTCGCATTGGCCAGTAGCAATCTCATTATACAATTCAATAATTTCTAATAAAAGCGGATGTTTGCAAGAAAGATTTTTAATAGCCTGAAGACACGAAAGAGAATCTGAAAAGATGATATATTGTTTATATTTACGGTGTTTATTAATATAGTTAAGAGCTGTTAGTATTGCGTTTGCTTCTGCTGTGAAAATTGAACTGTCATTGGGTAGTCTGGAAGATATTGTTTTGGACCCAATGACAGTGGCACAAGCAACCGCGCCACCATCCTTGGATCCATCTGTATATAAGGATTTATAGGTATTATATTTATTTCTTAATTGACTAAATTCTTGTTTATACTGTAAATCATTAGTATCGGATTTTTTAAATGTGGTTAATGTTAAGTCAACTTCTGGCCTCACCAATTGCCAAGGAGGAGAAGAAAGAAGACGAGAAGGAGATATATTCTCCAGCTCAATGCCAGCAGCAGAAAGGAATGGTTTAATTCTGTGCCCAAGAGGCGGAACAAGAGAAGGCTTTTTGTTATACAAATCCTCATAAAGAGGATTGAAGACACAGTTAAATGCAGGATTAGAGTCGTTTGAATATAGTTTGGTAATATATTGTAAAGATAATTTAATGCGGCGTTGGGAAAGAGAAGGCTCATCTGCCTCAACATAGAGACTATCAACTGGAGAGGTTCTAAATGATCCAAGACAGAGTCTTAGACCTTGGTGGTGAACAGAATCAAGTAGTGAAAGATTGCTTTTGCAGGCTCCGCCATATACGATCGAACCATAATCAAGTTTAGATCGTACCAATGATCGGTTTAAGTGAAGGAGCGTAGTTTGATCCCCTCTCCACTTTGAATTGGAAACAACCTTTAACAAATCGAGTGCCTTCAGGCATTTAGCTTTAAGGGATTTAATATGTGGCAGGAATGTTAAATGTGAATCGAAAATTAGGCCCAAGAATTTGGCCTCCTTTACAACTTTGATGGGAGTGCCATTTAATGATAGTTCTGGGTCCTTATGAGGCTTATATTTACGGCAGAAATGTATACGTTTAGTTTTGGATTTAGAAAATTTAAAGCCGTTTTCAAGACACCATTTATTTATTTTATTTAAACACAATTGCATTTGCCGTTCAATAGTATGCATATTTTTACCGCGACAAGAAATATTAAAATCATCCACAAAAAGTGATCCATCAATTGAATCGTTTAAAACCTTGGATAAACTGTTAATCTTAATGCTAAATAATGTGACAGACAAAATACTTCCTTACGGAACACCCTGATCCTGATTATAATGGTCAGACAGGGTAGAACCCACTCGGACCTGAAATTGCCTGTCTTTTAAAAATTGGGATATAAAAAGAGGCAAACGGCCTCTCAAACCAAAATCATGTAAATCCTTCAAAATGCCATGCTTCCAGGTGGTATCGTATGCTTTCTCGAGATCAAAGAATATCGATACTGCATGTTGTTTATTTGCTATAGCATTTTTGACAAAGGACTCTAAACGTACCAAATGATCAATGGTACTACGATTTTTCCTGAAACCACATTGGATATTGGTGATAAGGTTATTGGTTTCAAGATACCATGTTAATCGATTGTTTATCATTCTTTCCATGGTTTTACAGACACAACTCGTTAAAGAGATTGGCCTGTAATTAGACGGATCAGTATGATCCCGGCCAGGTTTTGGAATGGGGACTACAATGGCATTACGCCAGGAAGTTGGGAAATTCCCTGTAGTCCATATCATATCAAATATATTTAGCAGTGTTTCCAAACACGATTCGGGCAGATGCTTCAGGAGCTGATAGTGGATATCATCAGCCCCTGTTGCTGTATCATGAGCTTGCTCAAGAGCGGTATGTAGCTCATGGAGTGAAAATAGTTCATTATAATCTTCACCATTGTCTGAGTTAAAATTTATTCTTTTCTTCTCCTGTTGTTTCTGGTGTTTTTGAAACTCAGGGACATAATTTGATGATGAAGAATGTTTGGCAAGCGTTTCGCCAAGTTTATTTGCTATGTCAGTTTTATGAGTTAAGAGATTATCACCATCCTTCAGATGGTGTACAGTAGATTTAGAACCTTTGCCCTTTATTCTTTGTTTATTTTGGAAACATAGTTTCTCCAAGACTGACGCTTATTCTGTTTAAATGTGCGTCGAGCCTTGGCATTTAAAATTTTAATTTTGTCTAAATTATGGACTGGAGGATGTTTGCGGAAAACCTTTTCAGCTTTCTTCCTACTTTTTCTGGCCTGTTTACACTCATTAGTAAACCATGGTTTACGAATGTGTGGAATTGCAGAGGACTTGGGGATAGCGTGGTCAGCAATGTCATTGAGTATATCGGAAAACAGCTGTATAGGATCTTGCTGTTCGCAAAAACATCATGTTTTAAGTGATCATCACACAGTGTCTTATATAACGACCAATCAGCCCTGGCAAAGCTCCTTCTCGACAAAGGTGGATCATCCCCAGGGCTGATTGTTTTGAGAATGGTGGGGAAGTGATCACTCCCACACAAGTCATCATGAACCATCCAGTCAAATTCATTATATAAGGTTGAATCGGTGAGTGACAGATCCAGGGAAGAATATGTTCCCGTAGCTGGATGTAAATAAGTGATAAGAGATTATTATCTGATATAAATTCCTCGAGGATTTTACCTTTAGTGTTGGTATGGACACTTCCCCAAAGCGGATTGTGTCCATTCAGATCGCCCATGATGATACATGGCTTTGGAAGCTGATCATACAGATTCTGAAGATCCGACAGACGGACATCAGAAGATGGAGGGATATATAAGCTGCACAGAGTCAAAGCAATGTGCAGGGTCAGTCGAACAGCTACAGTCTGAAGATTAGTATGAATGGGGACAGGGCTATGTATTATTCCCTGTCGTACTAAGATATAAGCACCTCCAGTTGCTTTATCTCCCGGGCGAGAAAAGGAATGATAATCGCTGTATTGTCTCAAAGTAAAGTTATCTGTAGGTTTTAAATATGTCTCTTGGAGACAGAGTGCTGACGGCTGAATATCTTGTATCAGCAGTTGTATCTCATTGAAGTTATTTCGTAGTCCTCTGCAATTCCATTGCATTAGAGTAGACAATTGAGTCATGGCGGCTCAATTGGTGATCTCTCACGTGAATGCGAGGAGGATAAGACCCTCCGCCTGTCCTGTGAGGACGGAGTAACCTCCATATCTAGAGGTCCAAATGAATTTTCAAGAAGTACCTCTGGAGGTGAAGGGACAACAGGTTTGTCTCTATTAGTCCTTTTTCCTTTTTTCCCTTTGGAATTCTGTGCGGCTGGTTGGGAAACAGATATTTGTGAGTGAGACTCAGATTCGATTTTATCAGTCTGAGAACCAGACGTAGACTGCGTGACAGTGGCAGTAGGTTTATTGGCTGAAGCTGAAGAGATAGGGTTTGATGACTTGACCCAAGTCAAGTCAGTCTGACACGCAGTAGAGGACACTGCCGCAGAGCAAGTGACTGCAGCAGCGTAGGTAATGTTTGAAGGAGTTGAGATTTGATTGAACATTTTTTTGGCATCCAGGTAGGAAACATTTTTCTCACATTTTAATTTCATAATGTGAGATTCTCGCTGCCATACAGGGCATGATTTAGAAGAAGCAGGGTGTGCACCATCACAGTTAGCGCACTTGTAATCCTTGGTGCATTCGGAACCGTCATGGCGATCGCCACAACGATGACATGCTACAGAGTTTCGGCAAGATTGTGAGCCGTGTCCGAAATGTTGACATTTATAACATCGGAGTGGACTGGGTACATAG